GAAAAGAAGATCACAGTAGAGATAGATTGCCTCAATTAAGGAAACCAAAGCCCTGAGTTTGCAAGACCTGAGAAGGGCAGCAAGAGATCAGGGCTTCTTGGAGGTCAGTCATTCATAAAGATTGCCAATGCCATAAGTCTATATTGAATTGGTAGAAAACAACAAGAATGGACAGCCCTAACTTTTCTATCACACATCATTCCTCTTCCCAACCCTCCCTGGTTTCCATTTTCCCACTCATACAGATACTCAATATTGAATCATATAATTTAAAAATACTCCAAGAGATAGCTAGTCCAACTATGGTCACTGAATCTGTTCAGTTATTTCTGAATATTCTCGCTTCTCTTTATTTCCCCTCCCAAGGCCCTTTTGTATCTCTGCAAGTTTTTAGGGTACTGTTTCATTATCCAGGCAGAGGCCACAAGGGGCCGCTAGAGAGAGAGAAAAATAGTCCATTTTACTGGGGTGGAGGGTTGGTTGAAGTAGTAAAACCATTTCCCCCTGTTTTCCTATTCCCAACCATGTCTTGTTGTGGAAAGAACCCTCGTTTATGACATGGGAAGTAGGGAAGTGGAATAACCAACAAAAACAGGGAAAGTTGTTTTCCTTCTTCAACCCCCACCCCCAATAAAATGGACTGTCCTTTTCTCCCCCTTGTGGCCTCTGTCCAGATAATGAAACAATGCTGTTTTTAGGATTTCTCCATGCTCAATGATATCATCCTCTCATGCAGAGGTGTTCTGGCATGGATACACAATACCTTAAGTTTAACAGAAGCAAGCAATGAAAACAACACTTACAACCAATCAACAGCAACATGTGTGAAAATGAAAACCAGAGGGAGTGGAGAAGGGAATGGTGTGTGGTAGAAAAGTTATGGCAAATGCATATTAATTTTAATTATTATGCCAACAACATTTTCATCCCAGGGAAAGGAATAAGAAATTGATCTTGTTTAGCCTTCTCCTTGATCTTTGATACCAACCTTACTGTTAACAGTCAACCCCAGAGCCTTTTCTATCTCCCTCAGAAAAACCAGAAACTGCTCAGACTCAAACAAATGGGGATAATATATATTCAGGCAGAGGAAGGATAAATGTACTCCTTCTTCATGAGATAGCTCCTCTTCTTCCCTGTCAGGTGTATCAGGAGAAACAAGAGAGTCCATCATTCCAACAGCAGTGACAGAAATCCCATCTTCCTTTTATTTTTTGAGAGGAAGAAGCTATTGAAGACACTTGCTCCATAATATCCTCTCTCCTGAGAGGAGGAAGAGGATTCTGATAGTCAACCATTTTTAGAGTATTTTACATGCTTCTAGATACTAGAAGGCTCCTGAATGTAAGAGGTATTATCACTGAGGCTGCCTTTTCATTTGGCATCCAATATGTCCATCACCTTGAGGCTCCAACGGAGTCACCACTGCTTCCCCACCACAGCCCTGAACCCACAGCTACAAGCACCTATTTTGCAATCCGCAAAATCCAATTACATGGTTCACAGTGGAGTTGCTGCCCATTAATGACTAGGAGGAGAGCACCTGCCTGTGTGACTGAAGAACAGCACTGTCGGCCACTACCATGGCCCCAAAGCATCCCACCTCTGGATCTCCAGAGAGCACCACCTGGTCCAAATTCTCTGTGCTCTGGAGCAACATCCTCTGCTCTATGCTCACTAACCCTTCATACACTGGCCATAAACATGAGCTGAACTACCCCAATTAGGACGGGAATCAATCTGGGACAGAGAAAACCATCTGCTGACTCATCAGCAGCCACAGACACTGAATCACACATAGTCCATAAGGACAATACTGTGCATGCAGAAAATTCCAGAAACCCATAATAAAATATAAAATTAGTCAAAAAGTAAAAAAAAATAGTCAAAAATGAGATTTAACTGGCGCACTCAAGCCCTGCCCTGAATCCAGCAACGGCAGAAGGAACTGAAAAGATGGGACTCTTAAGGTGGTAAAAATTACTCACAAATAACAAGCCCTGCCTGTCAAGTGAGAGGGCCAAACTCTGTAAGAATTTTCCTCCTCACACTGCAGGAAAATACAGTTATTATTAAGACCCTTGTTCTTAATACCACATTCTAAGGCCTTTTAATATTTGTTGAAGAAGCAAATAAAAAAAGAGGCCGACTCACTCATAGTCTGAGGAAAATCCTCTTGCGAATTTGTTCTTAGAGATCAAGCAAAGAAAAGAGGAAGTGTCAATTCTAATATTACGTCTCCTCATTTTAGTAAGCATTTATAGTAAAATTAAGCAAGGGGAGTTTAAAAGATCAGTCCCTAATTAACCAGGGACACCTTCTTAGCCAATTAAAAGATTTTAAAACTATTTATAGTCAAACTACTGCAGCCCAACTCAAATGTAGTCAATGGGCCTTATTCCCAGATAAGGGTGCACAGGATTATGGCTACAATAATAATATCCGATACACATCTCCAGGAATTTTCTTGTAGTTTATGTTGGTAAGACGCACACTGGCAGACTAATGAGGTCTCAATTTCAGAGACCAGCATTACTCAGATAAAAAGTTAGTTATAAATTGTTTTTTTCATTCCCCAGAAGGTCCGTCATAATTTGCTTCACACGAAAAAATATACCAAAATACCAAAATAATTATAAAATTCACTTTGAGAGATAATATATTTTTAAGGAGTCCACGGCGATGTAGTGGGCTAAAGGGCAGAGCTCCTGAACTTGCTGACCAAAAGGTCACAGGTTCGAATCTGGGGAGCCGCATAAGTTCTCGCTGTTAGCCCCAGCTTCTGCCAACCTAGCAGTTTGGAAACATACAATGTGAGGTACCGCTCCGGCAGGAAGGGAACAGCACACCGTGAAGTCATGCTGGTCACATGACCTTGGAGGTGTCTATGGGCAATGCTGACTCTTTGGCTTAGAAATTGAGATGAGCACCAACTTCCAGAGTTGGACACAAATGGACTCAATGTCAGGGGAAAACCTTTACCTTTACCTATATTTTTAAAACAAATATTTCAATTGCAATGAATTTAAATGAAAGTTTCTTTATGAAGTATATAAAGTTCAGTCAGAAGGAATTAGTAGTGAGCATGTGTGAAAGAGACACAGAGCTCAAAAAGACAGAACCACTCATCTCCCATGTTAAGTAGACTAGAAACATTATTTTATAATAACAAGTCCCTGCAGTTTCTAATTTCCCTTATGTTGCAATGCTTACATTTTTCATTAGGTGAAACTGTGTAATCAGAAAAATAAAAACATAGTTTAATAAGTGTTCTTCAAGTATCCAGTTTTCTTTTTTTAGAGAAGACAGAAATAGAAACAAATTTCCTCAGTCCTAATGGCTGCTCTTCAGAGTTTTACTGAAAAGAAAGCCATGGAATACCTCCAAGCTATATTCAACACAAGGACAAGGGGTTCCTTGATTCTCCCACAGCAGTCCACTCTACTGATGAAAGAACATCACACTTTACACTGTTCTAATGCCTTTAAAACAGAGAAAAGGAAGAAAGCACTGTGTATAAAATAAAACATGACATTAAGACTCCAACAACACAAGCAACTGCTGATTACCCATGTCAATAAAAGATGTGGCATGCTCACAAATCAAAAGGAGATGTGGAATGAAGGAGAAAAAATATAGGTGAAGGAAGAGAGCTCTAACAAGATACTGAAGTGAAGGATGTAGTCAACAGCTTTACAGGTTTCCACTGCAAACATCAGCCTTGAATGTTCTCTTTTTCCCTTACCATAAACTGAAGTGAATGACTTAACCAGGGATATCATGGCTTTGTTCCTGGACTCACTCCTGCTATCAGGAGCACTCCACAAGTAGAATACTAATCATGAATGCTCTTGTTACACAAGGTAGGAGGAGAGCTTTGCCATTTTTCTCTCCTATGGCACCTTCCCAAATCTGCTGGGGTGAACAAAGAGACCATTTGGAAGAATACGGGAGGTTACAGAGAGGAAAGGGCTGATAAAAATCAGAAACATCCTGCACCTCATCTAAGCTTCTTCTATATGGATTACCCTGATCCAAATTCCTGTATTATTTGAATGCAAGGACTACAGCTATCCAACTCAAAATCAGGCAGAAAAGAACAAGACTCAATTTCAGATAAAACAGATTCTGAGGACTCCAGAAACAGGTTGATAACACTTACAGCATAGACAGAAAACATGGCCATCCGGATACTAAAGGTAAAGTTTCCCCCTTGACATTAAGTCTAATCATGTCCGACTCTGGGGGGTGGTGCTCATCTCCATTTCTAAGCCGAAGAGCCAGCGTTGTCCGTAGACACTGCCAAGGTTACATGGCCGGCATGACTACATGGAGTGCCAGTACCTTCCTGCTGGAGCGGTACCTACTGATCTATTCACATTTGTATGTTTTTGAACTGCTAGGTTGGCAGAAGTTGGGGCTAACAGCGGGAGTTCACCCCGGTCCCCGGATTCAAACCACCAACCTTTCGGTCTGCAAGTTCAGCAGCTCAATGGTTTAACCTGCTGTGCCACTGGGAACTCCTGATACTACTGGCCTGCTATTCATAACAGCCACTACTAATTATGTTGATTTGGACTGATGCAATTTTAATCCAACTGTAACTGGAGTACTTTATTTTCTCAATCAATCCTTTGCAAGGATTATGTGCCTGTAAAGCACTGTAGTCTGAAAAGGCTATATAAATGTTGAATACTACCATCATTATCATCCATTAATTTAAGCAGCCCAAGAAGCATTCTTCAGTTTTGCAGGAAGTCAGTGCTTTTTTTCTGAGCCAAGTGAGAAAACCAGTGCCTAAAGTTATTAAGGTTAATGTGGTTGGATGTCCATCTAGAGACCAGTCAAATTAACAAAGCCAGATTTAATCCTGCCCTAGGGATGAACTTCAGGAAACAAAATGGACATCAGAATGCACATTGCAGGAATGCAAGAAGCTGGCTAATTCTCATATCTTGCCCCCACCTCCTTAAGAAAGGCTGATTTTTCAAGGCACTTACTGTTTCCTGTCTTTGGGATTCATTGACTCTGTCACATAAATCTTCTAACCTCCTTTTTGTTTCTGCATCAGTGCTTAGATAGGACAGAGGAATAAAATGGATTTTAAAAATCAGTTCACAACAGAATGTGTGCTACATTAAGCAAATGATTTTTAGCATTAATATGAAATTATCGCGACTATTTATTAAACATTATTCCAGACCTTGCTTGTGTAACTTATCTAGCTAGTGGAAACTCTCAAAATGACACATTTACAAAGAAGAAACATTTCCTAGACCAGAAAACAAAAAGATAGGGACATCACTTGCTCAGTTTTCAGACATGTGTTTATGTTCCTTCACACCAATTGTTTTTAAATAGGCAACAAAGCAAAGCTAATCTTATTTTTTTTAAAAACAGTGTTATTTAGACATATTTATTTCTGGGAAATGTCTACAGGTCCAAAAAACATGCCTGATGTTGCCATTCTGAGCAACTGTTTGAATAAGGGTCTACACACAAAGCACCAGAAACTATGCTGTCCATCCCATACTTTCCAATTTTGTGGTGAATAACTCACACAGTTTGTTACCTCTTGGAATGTGGCCACATCAAGAATGTTAGTTTAAAGTGCAATCCTACCATCCCTATGGTCTAATCATATAATCACACACCTGCACAGATAAAGCTGGGAAGTGGCCCCTCAAAAAAAACCCAGAACTGGTGAATTACTAATCGCAGACCAGTAACTTTATTATAGAGAAGGCCTGCACAAACTGGTTGGGAATTATGGGACCTGAAGTTCAAAACGCCTGGAAGGACACAAATGCCTGCCCTTGTCTATTGAAGGACAGATTTTCTACTGGATCCTTTTCTGGGAGAAAAGCAGGACATAAATAAAATAAAATAAATGTTCAGCTACTTCCAGTTTTAAAAATGCAGGAAAAAACCCACAGCTTATTATTATTATTATTATTATTATTATTATTATTATTTATTGCTCACTTTTTTTTCTCCACAAGGAGACTCAAAACACAATGTAGCCAATAGAGCCTTCATCATCTGTGGTTCTCCAGGTGTTTGGCACTTCAACTTTTGGACGTCCTAGCCAACTTGTCCAATGGTCAGGAATTATGGGAGCTGAAGTCCAAAACATCTGGACACAGGTTATGCAGGCCTGCAATAGAAGGTTCATGGGAGGCAAACTGACTCCCAGGAGCTCGGACTTGTCTGCTTCTAGCAGAAAGCTTGTGTCCATAAAGGACACACAGGATATTCTTTTTAAGCATAAAATTATGAGGGAGCAGGGTTGTTTTCTGGAGACTAGGACTTGGAGCAATGGGTCCAAATTACAGGACAAGAAATTCCACCTGAACATTAAGAAGAACTTCCTAACCGTAAGAGTAGTTCAACAGTGGAACTCTCAGCCTTGGAGTGTAGTGGAAGCTCCTTCTTTGGAGGATTTTAAACAGAGGCTAGATGGCCATCTGTCAAAGGTACTTTGATTGTGCTTTTCCTGAATGACTGAGGGTTGGGCTGGATGGCCCATATGGTTTCGACCAACTCAATGATTTTATGATTTAATATAAAATCTAGGATGGTGAGATCAGTTCTTGGTGAAATTAGTTCTTAAACTATAATTTCTATGACAGCACACACATACATTTTCCTACAAAAGGAAAACATGATGTGTAAAACAGATCAATTCATTATTGCCCAACAAAGATAGTCTACATCACCAAGCATTGACTTGATGAGAGCCAATTAAAAAATATACTGTCTGAAGAACACCAATACTGAGGACGGGATGTTTGTTTTCTACATCACTGTTCCATCTGTTCTATGTGCCAAAGTCATGCTTTCTGTTCATACCGATTTCTTCTTGAGAGCTCTCTGCTGAGATCATCTTCTAAACGAACCTGTTCACTGCTGAGGTCTCTAAGTGACTGGTGTAAAGAGTGCAACTGCAATAGAACCACATACAGACTAAAATTGTGCATGTTAAATACATTTGCTTGATTCAGCACTGCTGTACACCACTAAACTTAAAATAAGCATGTTCTGCATCTTTATAAAATTTGAGGACAAGCTATATATGTTTACAAACCATCTGTTTTTATAGCAAAATAGGTAAGAATTTTTAGGAGTTGCAGGACTACTCCAAAAGATTTCATAACGAGTTGTAGAAAGAAAGACCCAAATGCCATTTGGAGATTTTGTTTCATGAATCGTCATGTAACTTTCAGGGCAATTTAGAACCGGGCCCATACCTTACAGCAGGAGTTCTCAATCTTTTTCAGCCACTGAGCCCGTTTGGAAGCAAAAGGTTTTGTAGAGCCCCAAGAAACGTTCACATATATTATATCATATCATATATCATATCATATTATAATGTATATATATCAGGCATGGGCAAGCTTTTTGACCAACATAAATTTAATAGTATTTCAGTGGAAGACCCAAGAAGCCATCCAGTCCAACCCCCTTCTGAAATGCAGGAAAAGCACAATCAAAGCACCCCCTATAGATGACTACCCAGCCTTTGTAATAATAATAGTAATAGTAATAATAATAATAATAATAATAATAATAATAATAATAATAATAGAGCAACCCCAGGAGCCATTCAGTCCAACTCCCCTATGCCATGCAGGAAAAGCACAATTAAAGCACGCCCTAAGCAGTGGGAGGGAAGGAAGCAAGCAAGGCAAGGGAGAAAGTATCTGGGAGCAAGAGAGGTGAGGGAAAAAAGGCTTTTGGCAGCAAGGAAGATGGGGGAGAGGGAAGAGCAGGAAAGAAGAGGGAAAGCTTGGAGACAGTGGAGGAGTGAGGAGGAAGAGGAGGAAACTGCTGAGCCCCTCAGTATGCTTCACAGTGCCCCAAGGGCTTCACAGAGCACACTTTGAGAACCACTGCCTTACAGAATCTGGACCAATCTTAGATGGGTCTATTTCAGCTTAAATTTTAAAATATGTGTAAATATATTTGTTGTTCAATATTTTCTTTTCATTCAGCTTGACTTTCACTCTTTCCACTCATAAAGGTTCATTGCATCACCATTAAAAAGCCTCTTCCAGAGTTCATCTTAAACTTGCAGAACATGACTGCTACTTTGCCTTTGCTTTCCTCTCCTTCCCATGAAGTGCATGAGAAGAAGAAACATCTCTCGGGTCTATCTAGTTCAACATTCTGTTCACAGAGTGGTCAACCAATTCTCCACTTGCAGAACATAACTGCTACTTCACCTTTCATATAATGCTTTCATCAATTGATATAGAGAGGCACATTGCTTCTGTCACTGACTGCATGGTACCCTGGTTTCCATATAATTATGAAATTAACAAAGCTATCCTTTCTTATCCTTTTGTACTTTTGGATAGACACCAAAATAGCCAAGGAGAGGTAGACTCAAATTTGCATTTCTAGAGACATTCCAGTGTATCTCCTCTTCACAGAATTCAATTTCACCTGAATCACTAAGTTTGGATTATGTCACCAAAATATGTCACTGGGGTCTTTATAATTCCTGTGTCTTTGTGTGGATATTGAAGAGGTAAAACCAGCCAGGAGAGTTTCCTGCACTTTTGGTAAAACATGCCTAGCTTCCTAAAAAAATCATCTGTTAGTTCATTTTATTAAAAGTAACTGTTAAAAAAAACCCCTCTCCGTGCTTAGTTATCTAATGTTGAATGAGAAATTGGAGTTTCTCTGATTTCAGGCTTAGTCTGAGAAATGGCTTCATACAGGTCATGACATAAAGGGAGTTAAAAGTGAGTGAGTAAACTGGAGGGTATTGTTCACATAAGACATAAGAGTTTTATAATAAGCAAAGATGCTGGCAGACTTTATGAAGGATACACACAAAGGTTGTCAGCCACTCTGTAAGGTTGGATAGAGATGCACAGGTTTGCTACATTGGGTGCTTATTCTCAGATAATACTTAGCTATTTTAAATTTAGGAGTTATGGATCTTATTTTGTGAAATGTATGGATCATGGAGCCCCCAGTGGCGCAGTGGGTTAAAGCACTGAGCTGCTGAGCTTGTTGATCGAAAGGTCGCAGGTTCGATTCCGGGGAGCGGCGTAAGCTTCCGCTGTCAGCCCTAGCTTCTGCCAACCTAGCAGTTCAAAAACATGCAAATGTGAGTAGATCAATAGGTACCGCTCCGGTGGGAAGGTAACGGCGCTCCATGCAGTCATGCCGGCCACATGACCTTGGAGGTGTCTACGGACAACGCTGGCTCTTCGGCTTAGAAATGGAGATGAGCACCACACCCCAGAGTCAGACATGACTGGACCTAATGTCAGGGGACTACCTTTACCTTTACCTACGGATCATGGACGTTGGATCTTATTTGAATAAATGTATACTAACAAGTTTCTCTTTGCTTAAACTACAATGCTGTGTACAGATTCTTAAGGGCAAAAACATGAGGAAAATGCATTTTTAAGTAACAATGTAGAAGACTACCAAGGTGCAATGGAATAATCCAGACAATGGAAGCACTCAATCTTCCAACAGCTCTTAGCAGCCATGATTAGTAGGGGTTTCTGCTGGTCAAATTTCAGGAGACCCGCAGATCCGTTTTTGCTCGCCTCCCAAAAACGGGTGGGATGCCAAATAGCCGTTTCCAGTTTGCTGCTGAAAGATCCAGTAAGGTCCAGCCCATTGGTGTGAATGGGGAACTTACGAGGCTCCCTTTTCCGTTCCTGGGAGCCTTTCCTTTCTTCCTTTTAAGGGAGCCTGGGTGTGAGTAATGGGGTTAAGGAAGCATCCTTCCTAGGACGGTTTCCTAGCTCCCTTTCAAGGAAGTCTGGGTTTGAGCAACAGGGTTAAGGAAGCAGTCACGATGTTAAGAAGACTCGTCACAATGTTCTTCTATTTTTATTGGCCCAACAGGCAAGGCTCACAATGAAATCCCATGCAAGCAGAACATGGCAGCCTCTCCACGCTATGTGATGCCAAATAGGAGAGGAGTCATGTTCGGCTGCCACGTGGTCCCGTAACAGATGAAAAAATGTGACAACTGAGCTCTTACCATTTTGGCCATAGCCGAATAAGCCAGATTGGCCAAAGGGAACTGATCACTCCGAATCCATGCACAATTAACATAGTCAATTATATAAAAAATAATCTGGGAATTACAGACCAACTATGTCTGGAGGGCATCACATGCCATGTTGGATGTGAAGAATCATCAACATTTGTATACAAAGCAATTAAGGACAGAGGAAATTCTGTGGTGCATGCCTGCTGTCTTGTTTTTCACCTGTTTCTTAGATCTATGTAACTCAAGATGTTTTTGCTTCCTGCCTGCATGTAGAAGTCATGGCCTCCTTCACAAAAGTATTTAGTGCTTTATTATCCTTTGTTTGAGAAGAGAGCAGCATAAAGCATATATTAGCCTTAAGATGCCTTACACACAGACATGAGAGTCAGCATTAGGAAGTCTTCAACCAAAAATAGGTAACTTTCTTTTGTCTATCTACTCGTATATGTAAAATGTAATACCATCAACAATAAAAGTAAGTTTTTATCTTTTTAACCCTTTCCAGGGCATCCTGCATATTTTCTCTTCCATTTCCTATCATAAGCTCATACAGAGCACTAGGGACGTTGCACTATACCTAATATTCCTACATGTCCTGACCCCAGAAAAACTGATTTAAGAGCTTCCACCCTTAAACAGGCCTTGCAGCAATTTATCATTCTCAGCATGCTGAATAGCCATATATTAAGAAATGGACCAAATTGCAACAAGCAACTAAAATATAACATGTCTAAACTCTATATACACTGTACTGGCAGCGTTTAAAGGCACACGGAATATAACAATAGTCTTTACTGGCTAGTCTTTGAAAATAATTTGCCACCCTTTCTCAGAAGGTAATACAATTATTCTTCAGGACCAAGATAATAACAACAGCTCACTCCAATTTACTGTACCAGTTTCAGACTAAATTCAAAACACCAACAGCAATAAACTATTTTACTTCTGAAAGAAAGGAAAGTATACGTTTGGCATTAATGAAGTGGCCACCATCAACTCAGAGTAGCGGGGAATTTGTGATGCTGTGAGGTAACTCAGCTCAGATATTGTTCCACAACACTGCATAAACAATAAGTGATTTGAAGTATCTGTCATGAGGAGATATGCAATAGGGCTTAAATACATTCAATTAGCTTGACAGTTGAAATACAAACTCCATCATGTGGAAATATAATAAAGATGTTAGAGCCAACATTTTGTAAAGAATTACACCTACCTGGTCTCTGTTATCTCCTCGATCAACAAATCGAACAGCAGATCGAGACCGGCGCTGTCTAGCACCCAACGTTGCACCATAGTCCTTGAGGGGAGAGGTAGGCTGGAAGTGACGACCTTCTTCACAAAACAAAAAGGCAAATCAATATGACTTGCTTGTAAAATTCACTCAAATAGAAGTTCACAAGTGTTAGATCAATTATACCTGTATGATGCTGCCCAGTTTCTAAATTCATTTGAAAAAGATCACCAGAAGATTTTGTGGGTTGGTGAGGCACTTTGATAAAGATTTTCTTCTGTGGTGGCCATATTGTTATTGAGATCCAGCATCAAAAAACATGCCTTTTTCCTTTGTTTGTTGTTTTAAACTTTCTCAAGCCCCTTCTACACTGACATATAAAATCCAGATTATCTGCTTTGAACTGGATTATATGACAGTGTGGACTCAGATAATCCAGTTCAAAGCAGATATTGTAGATCATCTGCCTTGATATTCTGGGTTATATGGCTGTGTGGAAGGGCCCTCAGTCAACCTCAGCCTCTTCTCCTCCCAAATCCACAATCCTGGATCCTCCTTACAGTGAGGATTATTGAGAAAATAACTGATTGGCACCTTGAATTATCAGCTTGAAGAAAAGGTATATTATAAATAAATGGACTAACTGATTTGAATTATATCCTCCCAATGATTCAGAAGGTAATTATCAAAACATCACAAAACAACTGCAATGTAAATAGTGATCTTAAGAGTTAGATGTAAGAACAATGTAACAGGAAGACCACAGTAATCTAATATAGAAACTGACTGCTTCTGATAGTTGATGTTCTCCTATGACTAGTGGCAGTAATCCCAAATGGGGATAGGCTCTTATTTAAAAAGTGAAGAACCTTCTCTTTATTATACAGAGAAGAAGCAAGTTACAGCCTTTCCAGAAATCCATTCCTTCTCTTAACAGGAAAGGATACATAGTACTATTCTAAATTACAATTTACTATAATACTGCAGAGTGGGGGGAAACCACCAAGTATTTTGATATCCTAATAGAACAATCCAATAGTAAGTTCGGCTAAATTTAATTAGGCATCTGCCAGGTGTAGTGTAACATTTCATTAAACATACCTGGAGCAGTACTATCCAGATCACTTGCATATAAACTTGAAAGAGATGCACTTCTTATACCCGAATTTCTCAATGCACGTTGGCTCCTTAATTCGCCTAGAGATTGTTCCAATGTTTCTTTAAGCTGAATTCAAATAGAAACTTGTTAGACTGACAACAGAAAGAGATTATGTATGAAAAAACTGACACTGTACACAACCAATTAAATAATAATTTAACAGAATAAGGGACAGCATAGAAGAGAAAAACGCCTGTCAGTCGGTTAGGTTCAACTATTTCTATCATCCATATTTGTGTCTGTCCCAAATAACCATAAATAATACCTTGATTCAAATCCTTTCCATTTTATTTCTGAACTTTCTTTTCTTTCCCGCATGAGAGTATACTACAGTGTGCTCTACAACCAGGATTAACTTGTGTCATGCTTCCAAAAACTACTTTATTATTTACATGAACCCAAGTCCCATTGACTAGAGTCAAGTGTAAAACAGGAATTTTAAAAGAAAATGGGGAACTGAATTAGAATTATAAAATGACTTGCCTTCTTATTACTATCAACAGAACTCAGTTTGCAGGTGTTTCACACAAAAATCCATTCACGTTTTTGTTCATTTTAGTACAGTAATTTAGAGTGGAAGGTAAAAAAGGAGGAAGGAAGCTGCGAAGGGAACATAACAGCACCTTTAAGGCTAGGCTGGTTTTTATTTTTGCATGAGCTTTCTTGGATAAAAACCCACTTTGTGGGATGCAGTATTGAGTGAGAACTCTGGATCACTCCGAAGCCCTGCTGTTATCACTACTGTTCTGATACTTACTGTAAGATCCCATTCTATCATCTGGTCAGTTTACTGTACGTGTCTACAAACTAGGTTAATCTTTACTGTTTATTTTTTTAAGTCAAGAAAGAACTTTAAATGTATTCCTTTCTTCCTCACATTGCTAAAATGTAAAAAAAAAACCAATTGAACAAGAGAAAGAAGACTTGGAATGAATAGCAATGGATGGAAAGATACTAGAAAGCATAACCCATAAAACATGTTTATACAAGTGATCAGGAAGCAGTATCAACATATTTCATACATACAGAAGTCCCAGAATTATGGCATGCATCAGCAGTCCAAAGGGTTAAAATGGGCATCTTGGGCCTGATAGGTCTAGTTCTGTCCAACATTAGAAGCAAGCTGATACTTGTTTCAGAAATTTTCCTCCCATCCCAACCTATTCTAGTTTAGTGTTATTAATTTTTCAAACCACATCAAAATACTGCCTTGAGAAGAATTAACTGTTTCTCATGGCTTCCTTGCAGAGAAAATCATCCATCTGGAAGCACCTAACATTAGCATTCAGAAGAGTCATAACTGAGCATACATTTTAAAAATAAGTGGTTACAATTAGTGCTATTTCACAGCTATTATCCAGAAATCAAGTTAACAACTTAAAACAGTTTCTATAATAGTATTCTTCCTTTCCATGAACAGATTGGATAATTAGCAGTTATACTGAGGTTTCCACTATTCTCACATCTTAATATTATATTCAAGAAGTGAAAGAATTCCACGTCTGAAAGCTCTGATATAGGTATTAGAACCTCACTGAATACAATAGGATACTGACAGCTTCGCATCTGAAAAATATGTTGCACTATCCAGCCATTTTTCATCCATTTTGAAATCAAAAATACATAAACACACACTTATAACACAGAGAGAGGGGTTAGGCAACTTCAGATGTTTTTGAACTGCAACTTTTAAAAGCCACGCCATAGAATCATAGAATCGTAGAGTAGGAAGACACCTCCAAGAATACAATAATTTTGAAACCTTGGGTTCAGACACAGTCTTTGTGGTGATGGCAGCTAATAAAAAGAGGTGATATCCTGCAGGCATAGGAAAAAAGGAACCACAAGTGCAACTAGAAGGTCCCCACAGTTGGTGGCCATGGTAGCAGGACCGGAGGAAGTCCTTACATTGGAGTAGAAAATCACTTTGCCTTTGCTACCACTGCAGTGTATGATTTTAATAGGCAACACAGAATAAACCACTTAAGAATCCCCAACTGAGGATCCAGTATCATCCAAAGCCAAATCTCTGTTTTCATGTCTTGACTTTATCTCATGCATGTTTAAATTTTCCTCTTCTGACTTTAAATCTGACATAACATCATTTTTCTTTCTTCTTTTTGTTTTTGGTATCTTTAAGGGTTACATGCTTTGATTTCCCTGTCCCATTTTCTTGGTTTCTCTATACATGTTCTTGAGTCTGTTCTATTAACTGCTGTTCCATCAGATTTTCCATCTGCTCTCCACAAACGTCTATATTCATTAAGTTTGCATTGTCATCCTTTCTAAAATTCATGGCAGTTAAATTAGATTGAGAATTCAATTTCATTACATAAATGATGTTATTCAAATTCATTGCAGTTGATATGTTTGAATCATTGAAGGTAAATTGAATCCTTTTTTCCACTTCCACATTAATTCATTCTTTAATTTTGCTTTTTATTACAGAGGTATTATGAGGTTGCTGCTGATTTAAGTTCTTAAACTCTTCTTGTTTCACTCCAGCTACATATAAACAAATTATTTCTCGAGAGGGCTGAAGGAGCAATCCAAAACCACTGGGATAATCCTTCTTGCCAGCTGATCATGACAGATGACCCAAATTTCAAATCCATTTCAAATATTCCCTGCTTGTCTCGCCCCTACAGTTTTTCTTTTTCTGCCTTGCCAGCTGGTCGCAATTATCTCTTTTCTCTCATTAATGCCTAGAATCTTCTGATTCAATGTGGCAACCAGAAGACACAATTTTGCTTAAATTTCCTAATCTCTTTCTCCCTCTGAAAAAACAATGCAGCAAGTCTATTGCCTTAATTTTTTTTCTTTTTAATTTTCTTAACTTTTTTATTTTTCCCAAGGTAATTATTATCCTAATCCAACAGTTTTTGTTTTTGTTTTCTTCAAGGGGGCATGGAGAATTTCCCATCTGAATCTTTTCTTTATGAGTTCCCCTGTCAATTCCACTCTTAATTTCCTCCAACCCAATTCCCAACTACTATAGTTTAGTTTTAATTTTAATGTTGTACAATGAAAGAAGGCTAATACAAAATATTGTGAGCTAAACACTGCTTTATTTAAAAAATGACAAGTGGACAATTATAGATAATGATATATAAAAGTGAATTTTTAATCTATTCTCAGCCTAGCAAAGCAAAGTACACAAGAAGAAAAGGCCACACACTACCACCAGAGTAGAGGACAACCTATTTATTCATTTATTTATGACATCTATATGCCGCCCTTCTCACCCTGAAGGGGACTCAGAGCGGCATACAAGTAAAAAGTAAATACAATATATTATATTATTATCATAGCACAATATTAATATTATATATTGCATTGTACTATAACATTATACTGTAATATTATTAGTAATATTACATTTAATATAAAATGTATAATTATAATATAATTTTATTAGTAGTAGTATATTCTATTACATTATAATATTATCAATATTATATGTATATACAATATATTATATTATATTATATTATAAGCACAGTGCAGGAGATAAGATGAAACTGCCTTCCTGGTCCCTCTCTTCATTCTAATCTCAGAGCAGCAGTTGGTGCTGGGGGGAGGGGGGGCTCCCAACTGATGACACTGGAGGCAAGATGGAACTGCCTTCATGGCCCTATGTTTTTGGACCGTAACAACCATAATCCTCCAGCCAGCATGACAGCAGAAGGATTCTGGGAATGATAGTCTAAAGGTAACATGTAAACATTGTGGGTTCCTGTGGCATCATAGAATTATTATTATTATTATTATTATTATTAATTTGTATACCGCCCTATCTCCCCAAAGGGACTCAGGGCATTTTCCAACATATAAGGCAAAACATTCAATTGCCAAGAAGAAAATCATACAAACAGGTTAGAATAGAAGCATCATAAGACAACAAAAATCCAACAAAAACATAACAATAAAGATTTAAACCTAATGCAATACTACCGTTTACTGGCTGTCTGCATTCAGCTTGGAAGGGAAATTAACAAGAAAAGAAAAGGCTGCTGTACCATTTGGCAGTCCCCAGCCTTCCTCAGCCATCCATCAACATCTACAACAGTGCTACTGAAAATGGTGGTCTCTGAACCACCCAAGTCGTTGACTGCCAGTTTCTGAGAAGTTTCCAAGAAAGAAGGAAACAATTATAGGCAGTGTGCATGTATTTAGTGCTGCCCTCTGCACATCGAAAAAGAGTAAATGCCAGCCCCACATCAAATAGAATGAGGAGCACTGATCTAGATTAATTTAATCTAAACCACTAAGCCTCAGCAGAAAGCAAAAAAAAAGACACATATATTACATTTTAACGAGCATCAGGTAGTATATTTTAATTTTATCAAGGGCTGCTTACATTTGTAATTGCTTCTGCTTGCTCACTGTTGTACTCTCGATACTGGCCTAACATCTGGTCCACATGTCTCAGGTTGCGATTGGTATCCTTGAGATAGATATTTGGAGAAAAATGTAATTAAATAAAAATCCCAGTTACAAATATGAAAATACTGTAATCTCTGCTACTTCTAGAATCATTCCTGATGCCAAATAAGAGAACTCAATTTGGGGATGTTTATAATGGAATAGGACTTACAATCATTGGATACAGAAAGCTCCTGCAAATACTAATGTGGATGAAGAGATCTTTCCACTACGACACCAAAATTTCTCTCCTATTATTAGCCAATTTAAATCTCAACCGTTTGTGAAGTTAAGATATATCACTCTAAAATGCATTTGCCTGCCTTTTTCTACCTGCCTGCCCTCTTAGTTCATTAATTCATCTCATATTACCCTTTTAGCCTGTTTGAGGTTTTACTGATTTACTTGGTCTACAACAAAATGTGCCTCCTTGTGTTCTTAATAAGACTTTGATACAACTCTTCACTAGAGCTATTTTGGGGAGAATTCAAACCATATTTTTTACTAAATTGACTACTAGTATCAAAAGCTTTCTGGGAAATAAGCCCACTAATTTCATTTTTACAAAAGGCATGTATAACGATATTAAACGAATATCTGAGGCAGGGTGGACAAACAATCACACCGCTGCCACCAATATAGCGAAATTTTAGGCTGACCCTATGTTGAATATGTCAATGACCGAATGTTCTTGGTAGTATTAGCCGCCACCACCTCAGAATTATTGGCCTGAGGAACCAAAGGTGTGAATGTGTTTTAGGTAAGGGGTGTTTGAGCTCTTGATCTTCTATGGCTTCCTCACTAGCTGACTGGACTTTAAAATGGTTTGACAGAATGAGTTCTGAGGAAACGTATAGATTGAGGCATACACCAGTTAAAAGTTAACTAGAAAGAGTTTATTGAACTTTATATTAACAACAACTCATAGAAATGAGTGGTACAGAAGCGTGATTGAGTTGCAGAAACTTGGTTACTTAAACAAACAGTTCCCCTGACAGAAAAGCTTTTAACAACTGTGAGACTCCTTATCCATACTGTTCTATCTTTAGACACAGTATCCCTGGAGAACAGATCCCTATCTGTCTCCAACACAGGGTAGTAAGCTCTGGAGACAAATCTTTCTTTTATTGGCTCTCAACACACAGTAAAATACTAGCCTATTGTCTCAGCCTATTTCCCTAAACCTAAGGCTCACTAAAAGCTCTTCCCTTTCTGTCAGATCCCTGCTGTAACTTCCTATCTAAAAATCACAACCTTCTCTGTCTTAAGTCAAGACCCTTCTCTCCCTGTCAAAATCTGGCAGCTTATTTTCCCTCTCTAAACCGACTCCTCCCCCAATTGCTATACCCAATCAGGAGTCAGCTTGACTCCTCCTCCTGTCCTGCCTGCCAGCCAAGATGACAGCCACTGTCATGTAGGCTTCGGCCTAGTCGACTGAAAGGTAGTTTTCATTACAGCATGCAACATGTTTGGGAGGTAAATTATTCACAACCTGCAAAGTGCTTGCTAAAGTATGGATCTTCTCTGTGACTTCTTCAACACCATGATTTTGAGTTCTGGTTGCTCTAACAGGACCCCGTCTTCCGATTCTACAGTGCGCATGGTCAGAACCACTGGAGGAATCTGCCATTTGTATCTTAAGGAGACAAAAATAATTCAGAAAGCATGAAACATTTGCAACATAACCATTTCTAATATTTTGTCATATTTTAGCTTCACAAGAAACAAAAATGAAATGAAACTCAAGCCTACTGGGTTTGGATTGTTCCACTGGAAGTTGACTGGAAGTTAACTATAGAACTGCACTGGAGAACATAGAGATTCCGAGAAACAACATTTTAATCAAATCTACAAATCTGGATGGCTGACTATATCCTCAAAAATATCAATAACATGACATATTCCTTAAAAAGCCAAAAATGTAGTTTCTTTGGGATTTGTTGAAAAGGCTGAGATTATTTCACAGTAATTTATCACATCTCTATTTTGTTTGCTTTTTATAAAACATGAATGGGTTCTTGTTTTGGTTTTATCAACATGGAATGTAACCCTCGCCTCACTTATATAATAATACTTACTCCCAAATTACGGCACTCACAGAATTTCATTCAGTGCTTTCATGTAAAATTATCAGAAGCAATTTGAAGCAACTGAAATATCCTCCTGTTTGGGAATGCCATTTATTCTATGACTTGACTGCTTTATTTTATTATTATTATTATTATTATTATTATTATTATTATTATTATTAAAACATTTATATTCCACCTTTCTAGCCCCGAAGGGGACTCAGGGCAGAACACAGCATATATACGGCAAACATTCAATTCACATACGCATACAAAAACATTAAAAACATTTATCTCAATATTAAAATACACAATTTAAAACCATCTTGGCTGATCTTAATGAGTGTTTTTGTCAGAAAAACATGCAAAACAGAATTAGAAAACTTTTGGTCCTCCAGATCTTGGTAGTTTTCAATTCTTGTCAACTTTAAGCAGCCTAGTCAATGATATGCATGATGGGACTAGGAGCACATCAATAGTTAGAACCCACTCCTGATATAAACAAGTTAGTGGGTCACTGCTACGCAGAAACCTCTCCATCTTACTTCAGTGTCAGTACTACTATTGTCTGATGCTCAAGAACATTGACAAATCTACTCCCTGCACTCACCATGGTTCCCTTCCCAATCACTAGCTGGAATTCTAGTTGTTACTTCCAATTACATTAGGTCCACTAAATCAGTTATGGAATGGTGAATAGACAAATCCCATAGATTTAATGGTCCTTCTCTATTCAAACCTAATTATAGTATTTAGGCCTCTCCCAAGTACAGAAGTGTGGGCTTATATATAAAGCATACATCCACGTGAGTGGCAGTAAGAGAACTGGAATCTTTTCAGGATAGTCCTGCTAAGACTGCTGCTATTCTATTCACTGCTTCTGATCCTTTCTGGTTCAAACTCTTGATCAGATTTCCTCCTCTATTTCTGAAAACCTCAGAAAACCTACTAAATATGTCTATTTGTGGTGTTGAGGAGGTGCGTGAGCAGAGAAGGATCCCTGAACTGAAAACTGTACTAATGTCCCCCGTTCTCAGTTCTTCTCTAGGACCCTTGGATGGGCAGTCATATACCACCACCTCTTGCCCTGTAGCCCATCGCAGATGATAAAAGACATCATCATGTCCCTGATTGAAGTTCATCCTATCCTGAAAGTACAAGCTGAGATGGAGAAGGAAAACTTTCTTAAATCACTTAAATCTTAAATCACAGCTAGGATTCCTTTTTCTTCTTTCCACTCACCAGCAGTGACCAGTGCTGCAAAAGGGGATGGGAGATGTTCAATCATCTGTAGGCCCAATTAGGCCATTAGTCTGAAAGTTTCCCTTCTAGACGATCTCTCTGCATATCCTTTCATTCTGGTTTTGTTGAAGACTCACTAACTACCCTGACATGAAGCATGACAGAATCACATGAACAGGTCTTATGCCGTACTATTAAAACAGTGTAGCAATCGGATCACACTGTTCTAAGCACCACAAACATTGTGACTTGTCCATAAAGTCAAACTTAAAAAAGAAACAAAACACAAATCCTATTTATCTTCAGTACAGCATCTCCCAAAACAAATGGTCAATTCAAAAGAATAGAAGCCACATTGTTACAAAGCAAAAGGAAAGGCTCACTCAGAAGAGACTGCCAACGGCAGCAACAAAGACAGAAAAAGGAGAAAATGCAATTGACTGAAGTAGTTATACTCATTCCAAAATAGGACAATTTTTTAACAGTGCTCATTCCCACTTATATAACTAAATAAACAAAAAAAATTGTTTGGGCCAGTTTTTTTCTCCAAGAAAACAGACTTCAAAAAGGGCTGTGCTAATCTTTGCACTTATTAAATGCATTATTCTATCATTTACAATCATGCTTCACCGCTCAAAGCAATTTTGGCCAAATTGTTTACAGACTTTATTTTTCAGATGTCTGCTATAAATTGATGAAACATAAAATACAATAATAGAAATTGTACATGAAATTACTTGAGTGTTCTACATTAGGTGTCCTAAAATCACATCTGATCTTAAAGAGCAAAATAAACCCATTTTTGCCTGTTTCTTATTTATTTGTTTGTTTTACAGTATTTATATTCTGCCCTTCTCAACCCAAAGGGGACTCAGAACAGATTACAGAACACATATACGGCAAATATTTAATGCTGTTATACACAAACAAGACAGACAATTGTACATAAATAGAGGTACACATAGGCTTTCCCATCTTCAGTATCTTGGAGGCTGTGGGTTGCTATTGATTGGAGGGGGGGTGGCTATTGCTCCACTTTCCCTGCTGAAGAGCTTTGTTTGTAAACATCATTTTTCTCACATTTCCTTATGGGTGCCTTTAAATATCTCCCTGCTGAAGTAGTACCTGTTTATCTACTTATATTGCTGTTTTTGAAACTGATAGGTAGGCAGAAGCTGGTCTAAAGGCCAGGAGCTCACCCTGATCTGGGTTTCGAGATGTCAGCCTTTGAGTTGGCAAGATTTACTGCAGCTGGTAGTTAACCTACTGTGGTAAAGCCCGGCCCTTACTGCACTTCTGTTAAACACAAAGGTTTTTAGCTGTCTGTGAGTGAGAGACATTTCCAAGCTTGTGCTCAATCATTTCCCCAAATATGTACCAAGCACCAACTTCCTGGAAGGCAAAAAATTATGTAAATTGTGGTGTGTTCTTTAAAAAACTTTGCCTGTTAAATCTTCACACATCTTTTGCTTAAACTGCACTATATCTTTGGTTTTCAAGCATGACCTATAGTAGTAGCATTCGAGCTTTGCAGAGACAGAGTCTTTCATTAATCCAAATATTCTTATGTTTATTTTTGAAATCTGTATTTCAGCACTCTATTCTTGGGTTGTTTCTTTTTTCTTAATGGTACAGTTATGCTGCTATTTGGGCCTATCTCAGATCAGGTCAAGCGCTAATCAAGATTTCAACCCACCAGCTGGAAATCAACATTCAAGGTCACACACACCCTGTGTTCTGGCAGGGCTTTTTCAGGGGTCAAGTCATTCACATGAGTAGAAAGCAAAGCCTAGAACCCATATTCTATACTGTCAAATACAAGTCTAGAAATTTTAGTCGAAAAATCAACTTCAAAATCCGGGTTGACTTATCAACTGCTCAATGTGAGCACTGTGCATTAACTCTTTTTTTTAAAGGAATGCTTATTCAACAAAAAAAAAACCACAGTGATGAAAGGCAAGAGGTTACTCCATCTTGGAAAAACTTAAAAGAAGCCCTAAACATCCTCAATTCTATTTGCTAAAGCACCGCTTCTGAATGCCTGAGAGAACATTTCCCCTCTCTGTGGAATGACCCTTAACTTACACACAGGACTTATCCAAATCTATGCTTTTGACCTCAAAACCTGACCTTGACTTACACATGTAGTCAACTTATATGGCATATAAATCCCACTATCTGCATATTTTGAAAAATATCAGTACAGTACAAAAATAGCAAAGCTTTTACGGAGTTTGTCCCCCATTACCAATCTTCTTGCCGGCAGTCCACTTTTTGTAAGCTTCCAAAGAACTCTGCAAATTGCCAGATCTCTGCAGATCACCAGAAAATGTTCCGCCTTAAAGTTACACAACAGAACATGGCTTTATACGAGAAATACTTCCATCTATCAAGCTAGTAGCAAGCAAACATTGATGAAACCGTTCAACTGGCCACAACTTCTTCATCCTGCAATCAACAGGAAAAGGAAGTTGAGTCACTGATATCAGCTTAGGCTCAGATGAATAAGCCAATGAGCACTAGCATCTTTGTTCTTGTGTCTAGTCTAAAACATTGAGGAAAGTAGATTAAAGGGGGAAGGATTTTCTCATATTGCTGTACTAATCCAAGCCATTCTGGATTCCAGTGGAGAAAAACCAAATAAATAATGTTCTACAGCACCCCAACTGTAGTTATTTATTTTTATTTATTTATTTATTTGACTTGCATACTGCTACTCCCAATTTGGCTTGGAGCGGTATACAGCAGTAGATTAAAACAATACAATTAACTTTAAAATACAATAAAACAAGAACAGACATAGTCCCGAGTTATTCACCCATCGAAAGCTTGTCGGAAGAGAAAGGTTTTACAGGCTTTTCGAAAAGCAAGTAGGTCTCGGATAGATCGGGTTTCAACTGGCAAGGCATTCCATAAATAAGGAATCATAGTTCAGATCATACTATGTCATGATTCAACTATGCACATAACATGCACAAGACTTGTTCCAGAAGTGTTACATCTATTGTGTGATAAGTACAGCCTTCAATTCAAGTTCATTTCCTCCTCCTCCTCATTATTATTATTATTTGATATACAGCAAGATTAGTACAGAGCAAACAAAATCACTATGCCGGCTTTTGTATTTGATCAAACGTTGGACACTTCCCGAGTGTCTAGGACTGTGTGATGTGTCAGCGAACAATGCGTGCAGATCCAAGTAGGATGGCCTTTTGCAGCTGACAGATGGTAATTTTGTGAGTGCTGATTGTTTTTAAGTGCAAACAAAGGTCTTTAGGTACTGCATCCAGTGTGCTGATCACCACTGGGACCACCTTTATGGGCTTGCCAGAGTCTTTGCAGTTCTATCTTTAAATCCTGATTGTGATTATATTTATGTATACCCCACTTTAAAAATTCCCAGTTAAAACCGTTAAAACATATTCAAAGTTTAAAAAGTTTTCAACACAGCTATAGAATGCAATCATGTGGAAGAGTAAATAATTTGTAGGTAATGACAAAAACATTAATACCAAATAATATTTCTTGCAAAATTAAACCAGGGCCAAAAATATAATGGCTAAGCTTAGAAGTAAACCTTAAATCTAAAATATTAGTCGAAGGGAGCAACTTTCCATGCAGCTTTTGGAGGATACACAGAAATAGAAAAAGGGTGTAACAAGACAACTTCAGTAACACTGTCAGGTCTTTTCACAGCCACAGAAGAAATCCTACACCAGAAATCTACTGAACACAACAATCAAATAATCTAGCCTCATTTGAGCCTATTTAAACATGTTTTTATTCCATTCAAGACTAGAAACAGCCGTCTATAATTTCATATTTTACGTTTTTCAATAATTGAACTGTTTCTCACTAACAAGGAAAAAGAAGATTATGTTGTCATGCAAGGCAGGTCTAAATGATTGTAAAAACCACATGTATATTGCTTCACTAGCAATTCAATGGCAGTGAATGCTTGATAGTGTTCTTTTTAGGTCTTTAAAAGTGCCTTTGTGGTAGAAATCTTTCCAACTGTGGTTGGATTGCATCTCCAAACAGTCCTGGGATTTGCAGTCTAGAAACATCTGGAGGGTCACATGATTCCCAATTCTGTTTTAAAGCTTCCAGAGCACCCCATAGAAAACAATCACAAATAAAACACTTGAAGTCTAGACACACAGCATCCACATGGAAACCAGTTCTAAGAAACGTATGAAATACAATTGTTTCAAAAATTAAATTGTTTTAAATTGCTTTTAAATTTTGTTAGATTTTAGCCATTCTTGTAAGCCGCTCCGAGCCCCAGGGGAGTGGCGGCATATAAGTTTAAATATTAAATAAATAAATAATGGGCAAAATCGGTGTTCTTAACGTCTTGACTGGCAGGATATAGCTATACTTACTCAAAAATAATCCCAACTGAGTTCAATGGAGTTGACTACAAGTTACACCAGGCATGGGCAAACTAACAATAACGAGGTTCATTCCAGCACAGGGCACTCCCCATTTGAGATAGTTTACTGACACAATCTGTGCACCTTGCCAACCCCAGAGGTCATCCAGTCTGCGATGCTATTCAAGCTTACTAATTGCAACATTCATACTTGCTTAAAACAGACAAGAGTTCTTTCTCCCACCCTGGGCATCATTTCGTGTGTTTGTGTGTGTGTGTGTGTGTGTGTGTGAAGGTTTCCCCTTGACAATAAGTCTAGTCATGTCCAACTCTGGGGGGTGGTGCTCATCTCCATTTCTAAGCAAAAGAGCCAGCATTGTCCGTACACACCTCCAAGGTCATGTAGCCAGCATGACTGCATGGAGCATCATTACCTTCCCGCCGGAGCGGTACCTATTGATCTACTCACATTTGCATGGTTGCTAGGTTGGCAGAAACTGGGGCTAAGAGCAGGAGCTCACCCCACTCCCTGGGTTTGAACCGCCAACTTTTCGCAGACAAAACATCAGGAGAGAATGCTGCTGGAACATGGCCATACAGCCCAAAAAACTCACAGCAACTCAGTGATTCTGGCCATAAAAGCCAGGATAATAAATCATTTAAATAAATAAATATTGTTGTTGAAAATAATTTTTAAAATATAAAACATAAAAGTTTGCCCATGCCTGAGTTATATATACAGTAGAGTCTCGCTTATCCAACATAAGCGGGTTGGCAGAACATTGTGTAAGCAAAAATGTTGTATTTTGGTGTGAGAGAATTGGCCGTCTGCAAGGACGTTGCCCAGGGGACGCCCAGATGTTTTTGTTGTTTTACTATCCTTGTGAAAGGCTTTTCTCATGTCCCCACATAGGGAGCCGGAGCTGACAGAGGGAGCTCATCCGCGCTCTCCCCGGATTCAAACCTACAACCTGTCAGTCTTCAGTCCTGCCGGCACAAGTGTTTAACCCACTGCGCCCCCCGGGACTCCTAATGTTGGATAATAAGGCCGGATTAAGGAAAATCCTAATAAACATCCAATTATGCTGTGTTTTTACAAATTAAGCATCAAAACATTGTGTTTTATAACAAATCAACAGAAAAAGCAGTTTAATACACGGTAACGTTATGTAGAAACTACTATATTTACGAATTTAGCACCAAAACACCACAATGTATTGCAACAGCCGTGGATCTGGGCGGGAGGCAGACTGTGTTGGATAATACAGAACGTTGGATGAGTGAAGGTTGGATAATAATAATAATAATAATAATAATAATAATAAACATTTATTTGTACCCCGCTACCATCTCCCGAAGGACTCGGTGTGGCTTACAAGAGGCCGAGCCCAAATACAACAATAAAAACAGCAGCAGCAACAACAACACCACAATAACTCAAAAAAACAAAGCAATAACATTAACAACACCCAATGACGCAATTAAAAACAATGGCCGGGCCAAATGTAATAATTAAAATTAAAAGTGCTGGGCATGACAAGATGGGGTGTTTCGAGGGGGATGGGCATGCAGATATCCTGGATCTCTGATAAGCGAGACTCTACTGTACAACCAATCCATCCTTACCAACAAATTAAATCAGCCAAGCTGCAATGCACCCTGAGCCCTGCCACATGCACAATGGAGGACCTTCTTGCAGCAACCCCAAAGGCACTCCAAGTGGCCAGATACTGGTCAAAGGACATTTAACCAAATACCAAATTTGCAAAATCTTTGTGGTTTTTTTTCCTTTTTCTTTTTAATCTGTGTGTTTGTTTTGCTCTGTTAGAATTGTAATACAATGGTTGCTGATGACACGATAAATAAATAAAGCCAAGCCTTGTCTTCAACTACTGTAGGGATGAGACTTCCTACAAGCAGGTATCCAGGAAACACAGCAACAGTTAGGAGACACGACCACAATATCAACAGGAGATTACAGTTCCCATATTTCTATACAACCTTCAAACACAGGCTGGAGAGTCAATACAGCTGTCATCTCAAGAACCTCAGATTCAGCATTTCTCAACCTGAGGGTCACAGCCCTTTGGGGGATTGCGAGGGGGGTGCCAGAGGGGTCACCAAAGACCATCAGAAAGCACCATATGTTCTGTTGGTCATGGGGGTTCTCTGTGGGAAGTCTGGCCCAATTCTATCATTGGTGAGGTTCAGAATGCTCTTTGATTGTAGGTAAACTAGATATCCCAGCAACTACAAACTCCCAAATGTCTAAGTCTGTTTTCCCCAAACTCCACCAGTGTTCACATTTGGGCATACTGAGTATTCATGCCAAGTGTGGTCTAGATCCACCATTGTTTGAATCCACCGTGCTCTCTGAATGTAGGTGAACTACAACTCCAAAACTCAAGCTCAATGCCCACCATACTCTTCCAGTATTTTGTGTTGGTCATGGGAGTTTTGTATGCCAAGTTTGATTGAATTCCATCGTTGGTGGAGTTAAGAATGCTCTTTGATTGTAGGTGAACTATAAAACCCAGCAACCACAACTTCCAAATTACAAAATCAATCTGCCCCCAACTGCACCAGTACTCAAATTTGGGTGTATTTGCCAAATCTGGTCCAGTGAATGAAAATATACCCTGCATACCAGATATTTACATTATGATTCATGTTGTTGTTCATTCGTTCAGTCGTCTCCGACTCTTTGTGACCTCATGGACCAGCCCACGCCAGAGCTCCCTGTCGGCCGTCATTAAACAGTTCAGCTGGGATCCCGTCGTCTCCTGCTGCCTTGTTGTTAGTAATGCTTCTTAAGGCCCATTCAACCTCACTCCTCAGGATGTCTGGTTCTAATTCATTTACCACACCATCAAAACTATCCTCGATATTATTATCCTTCCTATACAGATCTTCTGTATAGTCACGCCACCTTCTCTTGATCTCTTCAGCTTCTGTTAGGTCCCTGCCATCTTTGTTTCTGAAATTTACCTTCAATGTTTCTAATTTTCTGGAAGAGGTCTCTTCATAACAGTAGCAAAATTACAGTTATGAAGTAGCAACAAAAACAATATTATGGTTGGAGGACATCACAACATGAGGAACTGTATTAAGGGGTTGCGGCATTAGGAAGGTTGAGAACCACTGCTCTAATTCAAGACTCCCACCCACATTTACTCAGGAGTAAGCCTTAGTGATATATAGTATAGTCTTTGCAGCCTAAAAAGAGTGAAGCACAGTCGCAAGGAAAGGCATTTTAAATCAAGGGAGAAGAGCCAATAGTGAAGTTCAGTATCTGAGAGGTTCAACTCTGCTTTCGGTACACATTGCAGCAGAGGTGCATTTACACCAGGCAAGGGCCAACTTGGGCCCTCCAGGTGTTTTGGACTTCAACTCCCACAATTCCTAACAGTAGGCTGTTAGGGATTGTGGAAGTTGAAGTCCAAAACACCTGGAAGGCCCAAGTTGGCCCTTTCCTGATCTACACTACAGTATGGCACCACTTTAACTGCCATGGCAACATGCTATGGAAACCTGGGAGTTATAGTTTCATTCTGCCTTCTCTGTCCACAAATCCCAGCCCTGGCAGTGAAAGCGGTGTCAAACTGCTCTACTTCTCGCACCCAGCTTGTCTCCCAATTAGCACGAAGAGTTTGGGAAATCTGACCTACCTGACACGCCTCCCGGGACACTCAACACGCATCGGCTGCATTCACACGTTCTGGACCCGAAGCGTGTCTCTCCCAGCGCCTCCACGAGAGCGGGCGACTCGTCTCCCTTTCCAAAAGACACCCGCCGGCTCTCGGGTCACGGGACCTCTCAACCGCCCAACAGCCCGCTACCTCCGCCGCTATGGCAACTTGAACTAGCCGCCCTGCCACCGAGGGAGAGCGGCCTCGCAAGGCGCCAGGGCTCCCCTGATGCCTTGCATACTGGGAATCGTAGTTCGTGGCTGACACATCACAATTGCGACGCGCCGAGTGCAGGACTACACCTCCCGAGAGCCACCGCGGCAAGCGCTCTGGGAACCTCCTCCTACATGCGACCCTACCAATGTAGCCCTGCGGGAAGGGTGGCGGCCAGGTTGTGGCTGCTTCTTAAAGATACAGGCGCTAATTCCTGTTGAATAGACTGCAGCTTGACACCACTTTCTGCCTTGGCTCAGTGCTATGGAATCCTGCGGGTTTGCTGTTTTACTAGGCCTGTAGCTTTCCAACAACTCTCTTCCAACACTCTCTTCCAATACTTTCTTCCAACAATCTAAAAGACGGCTTTATACATGGACCTTACCAGACGGTCAACACCGAAATCAGATTGACTACATCTTTTGCAGCCAAAGGTGGCGGACATCCATCCAGTCAGTGAAAACAAGACCTGGGGCTGACTGTAGCTCAGATCACGAACTTCTTATTGCTCAGTTTAGAATAAAACTAAAGAGATCGGGGAAAACACACAGACCAGTTAGATATGATTTCACTAACATTCCTAGCGAATATACAGCGGAAGTGATGAACAGATTTGAAGGACTAGATTTAGTAGACAGAGTCCCAGAAGAACTATGGACAGAAGTCCGAGACATTGTTCAGGAGGCGGCAACAAAGTACGTCCCAAAGAAAAAGAAAACGAAGAAGGCAAAATGGTTGTCTGCTGAGACACTGGAAGTAGCCCAAGAAAGGAGGAAAGCAAAAGGAAACAGGGATAAGGGGAGATATGCCCAGTTAAATGCGCAATTCCAGAGGTTAGCCAGAAGAGATAAGGAAGTATTTTTAAATAAGCAATGCATGGAAGTGGAAGAAGACAACAGAATAGGAAGGACAAGAGACCTCTTCCAGAAAATTAGAAACATTGGAGGTAAATTTCAGGCAAAAATTGGTATGATAAGAAACAAAGATGGCAGGGACCTAACAGAAGCTGAAGAGACAAGAGAAGGTGGCGAGACTATACAGAAGATCTGTATAGGAAGGATAATAATATTGAGGATAGTTTTGACGGTGTGGTGAATGAATTAGAACCAGACATCCTGAGGAGTGAGGTGGAATGGGCCTTAAGAAGCATTGCTAACAACAAGGCAGCAGGAGACGACGGGATCCCAGCTGAACTGTTTAAAATCTTAAAAGATGATGCTGGCAAGGTGATGCATGCCATATGCCAGCAAATATGGAAAACACAAGAATGGCCATCAGACTGGAAAAAATCAACTTATATCCCCATACCAAAAAAGGGAAATGCGAAAGACTGCTCAAACTTCCGTACAGTGGCCCTTATTTCTCATGCCAGTAAGGTAATGCTCAAGATCCTGCAAGGAAGACTCCAGCAATACATGGAGCGAGAGTTGCCAGAGGTTCAAGCTGGGTTTAGAAAAGGCAGAGGAACGAGAGACCAGATTGCCAATATCCGCTGGATAATGGAGAAAGGCAGGGAGTTTCAGAAAAACATCTACTTCTGCTTCATTGACTATTCTAAAGCCTTTGACTGTGTGGATCATAAGAAATTGTGGCAAGTTCTTGGTGGGATGGGCATACCAAGCCACCTTGTCTCTCTCCTGAGGAATCTGTACAAGGACCAAGTAGCAACAGTCAGAACTGACCACGGAACAACAGACTGGTTCAAGATTGGGAAAGGCGTACGGCAAGGCTGCATCCTCTCACCCAACCTTTTTAACTTGTATGCAGAACACATCATGCGATGTGCGGGGCTTGATGAATGCAAAGCTGGGGTGAAAATTGCTGGAAGAAACATTAACAACCTCAGATATGCAGATGACACCACTCTGATGGCCGAAAGCGAGGAGGAGCTGAGGAGCCTTTTAATCAAGGTGAAAGAAGAAAGCGCAAAAGCTGGGTTGCAGCTAAACATAAAAAAAACCAAGATTATGGCAACAAGAATGATTGACAACTGGAAAATAGAGGGAGAAAATGTGGAGGCCGTGACAGACTTTGTATTTCTAGGCGCAAAGATTACTGCAGATGCAGACTGTGGCCAGGAAATCAGAAGAGGCTTACTTCTTGGGAGGAGAGCAATGTCCAGTCTCGATAAAATAGTAAAGAGTAGAGACATCACACTGGCAACAAAGATCCGCCTAGTCAAAGCCATGGTATTCCCTGTAGTAACCTACAGATGTGAGAGCTGGACCTTAGGGAAGGCCGAGCGAAGGAAGATCAATGCTTTTGAGCTGTGGTGTTGGAGGCAAATTCTAAGATTGCCTTGGACTGCAAGAAGATCCAACCAGTCCATGCTTCAGGAAATCAAGCCCAACTGTTAATTGGAGAGAACAGTATTAGAAGCAAAGATGAAGTACTGTGGTCACATCATGAAAAGACAGAAAAGCTTGGAGAAGACAAAGATGCTGGGGGAAATGGAAGGGAAAAGGAAGAGGGGCCGACCAAGGGCTAGATGGATGGATGGTATCCTTGAAGTGACTGGATTGACTCTGAATGAGCTGGGGGTGGTGACGGCTGACAGGGAGCACTGGCGTGGGCTGGTCCATGAGGTCACGAAGAGTTAGAAGCGACTGAACAAATAAACAACAACAACAACAAATAAAATGTACATTTACAAATTTATTTATTTATTTATTTATTTATTGCATCAGAAGCAAACCAAGGGTACAATTGTAAGGTATTTAAGTCCAATATGTAATGGATCATAACACGCACAGAGGCATGAAATGTATTGTAATACTCCAATTTACCAGTTATTAGCAAAACCTAAATGAGAATTATATTTGTGGGGGGGGGGGGTGTATACATTTTGGCTTGTTGTAGACTTTTTCGGGCTATATGGCCATGTTCTAGAGGCATTCTCTCCTGACGTTTCGCCTGCATCTATGGCAAGCATCCTCAGAGGTAGTGAGGTCTGTTAGAACTGTTCCTCTAGAACATGGCCATATAGCCCGAAAAAACCTACAACAACCCAATGATTCCGGCCATGAAAGCCTTCGACAATATGTGTATACATATTCTGTTATTTGGCATTTCCTTAGTTATTATAACATTTTAAGTGTGCTTATGATTGTTAGCCACTCAAAACTCTCGGGTTAAGGGCTAGGGTTTTTAAAATGCCAAGCGGAACTGCTTTAATATCTTCCTATTAAGTGATGAGAGTGAAATGAAATGCTCATTAGCTCTTATAAATACAAACTAATGACCATATACAAATTCAGCAGAAGGGTTTCTCAAGTATTCAAGGATGATTTATGTAAAAAAAAAAATAATGACTACCATTGTAAGAGATAATTGCAAGCGAAACAGATTACCAGATGGGCCTTTAGAATAGTTATTTTCTAATCCCTTGATACCAAAATAATACCTTGCTTTGTTGAAGTAAAACTGTTTTGGTAAAAAGAGAGTCATTAGACCAAAGCTACTGTGGCTCTTCAAATGTTTTTCAGCTGCAATTCCCTTGATCCTTCAATTGTTTTCATACTGCACTTTTCACGATTCTACACCATTTGCTATCCTGACTAGGATTTATGAAAATCACAATCCAATCTCCATGGAATCAGGGTTGGAAGAAACCACAGGGGCCATCCAGTCCAATTGCCTGCCATACAAGAATACACAATCAAAGCACTCCCAATAGATGGTCATCCAGCCTCTGTTTTCAAACATTCAGAGAGAGAGAGACTCTACTACACTCTGGGGCAGCATATATTACTGTCGAATCACTAATACAATCAAGAAGATTTTCCTAATGTTCAGGTGAAATCTTTTCTTGTAATTTGAATCCATTTCAATATCCAGAGAAGCAACCCCCCCCAAAAAAACCCCCAAAAAACAAGCTTGACCCCTCCATTTAAACATGTCAGTCACGTCTCCTCTGCAACTTCTTTTCTCCAAGCTAGACATACTCAGTTTCCTAAGCTGCTCCTTATAAAGCTTAGCTTCCAGACCTTTTGTTGTTGAACCACAATACCCACCCCCCCACCGCAAAAAAAAAAAGCTCTCGAGTTTGCTAAGGGCTTTACAACAAATACTTTATTTTTGTTATTATTTTCCAATACTTTTTTTGAACTTTTGCAATTTTGAAGCATCAGAGTTTGCGAGCAGACTGGCAATGGCTTCTTCCACATAAAGACTTTATCGTTCCAACTATTTATTTATTTATTTCCTGCAACAGTTTAATAAAATGCATACATTTTCCAAACTTTCTGTTAAACTTGTATCTTTTTATGCACTGTGTCTATTTCTCTATACAAAATGTATAACCTTCCTTGTAAAATGTAGCTATGGGTTCAGATTACAGGAAAGGAGATTCCACCTGGATATTAGGAAGAACTTCCTGACTGTAAGAGTTGTTCAACAGTGGAACTCTCTGCTCTGGAGTGTGGTGGAGGCTCCTTCTTCGGAGGCTTTTAAACAGAAGCTGGGTGGCCATCTGTCAGGGGTGCTTTGAATGCAATATTCCTGCTTCTTGGCAGGGGGTTGGACTGGATGGCCCATGAGGTCTCTTCCAACTCTATGATTCTATGATTCTATGATTTCTGTGTTTTGGAATTGGTAACATCTATAAAGCAGGCAGTCTGTGGTTCTTTAGATATTTTTGAATGTGCTTTTCCTGCATGGCCCGTGTGGTCTCTTCCAACTCTATGATTCAATGATTCTGTGATTCTATGAAAAAGGGAGGGGACTGAGAATAGTGTCCCATAGAAAATGAATGAAGTTGGAAAAAATATCTTGAGGGAAGGAGCTGGTTTTTTTTCCATAGAAATCTGATAAGGGAGCAGAAAGTTTACAATTCTGTTTCACAGTGTGTTCTTAAATTAATTAAAGTAAAGCATTATCGAAAGCAAAATTACATTGTAAGGCTTTCAGCTACATATCATGTTGTAATCTCAGTAATACAGGGGATGAAAAAAGAGGGAAATAATTGCTCATAAATTTCAGTAAAAGCAGATCAAATATCTGCATACCAGGAAATTTGTAAATTACATCAAACCATTAGGAAGAACTTCCTGCATCAATTCTACACTGTAGAGGCATCCTCTGTTAGAGAGCTCTGATGCTGCAACAAACTTGAAATTCCAGGATTCCATAGGAAAGAGCTGTGGAGTTCAATGGGGGCATCTACACTGTAGAATTAATGCAGTTTGACCCCACTTTAACTGCTTTCGCTCAATGCGATAGAATCATGGGAGTTGTGGTTTAAAAAGGTCCTTCACTGAATTGTATTCCACCACATTGAGACATAGAAGCTAAAGTAGTGCCAAACTGTTAATTTTGCAGTATAGATCAGCAGAATTCAACCTGGGGCTCAGGACACCGGGGGGGGGGGGGTTGCGAGGGGTTTCAGAGGGGTCACCGAAGACCATCAGAAAACATATATTTCTGATGGTCTTCCCTTTTGGCAGAGAAGGCTGAAGATCTCTCCACCTGTCCTCCTCTTCCTTTTTGGAAATAGACTGTGAATCCTCCCACCAAAACCCCTCCTATGCTGTGATTGGCTGGCCTCTTAGCCAAGGGGAGGGGTTGTTTCTGAGACTCCAAGAAGGGAGGGAGAGCCGGCATGCTGGGTGTATGGCAGCGTGGTCCACATGTACAGGCGAGGGAGAGTGTGCGAGGCTGGAGGGAGGCTCTTGCCAGCAAGTCCTTTCACGGCATGGGGGTTCTGTGTGGGAAGTTAGGCTCAATTCTATTGTTAGTGGTGTTCAGAATGCTCTTTGATTGTAGGTAAACTATAAATCCCAGCAACCTCAACTTCCAAATGTCAAGGTCTATTTTCTCCAGTGTTCACATTTGGGCATACTGAATATTCAGGCCAGGTTTGATCCAGATCTATCATTGTTTGAGTCCACAGTGCTCTCTGGATGTAGGTGAACTACAACTCCAAAAGTCAAGGTCAATGTCCACCAAACCCCTTCTAGTCTTTCTGTTAGTCATGGGAGTTCTGTTTGCCAAGTTTTGTGCAGATCCATTGTGGGTTCAGGCTGCTCTTTGATTGTAGGTTAACTATAAATCCCAGCAACTACAACTCCCAAATGGCAAAATCAATCCCATGCAACCCCACCAGTATTCAAATTTGGGTGTATTGGATATTTGTGCCAAATTTGGTATAGTGAATGAAAACACATCCTACATATCAGATATATACATTACAATTCATAACAGTAGCAAAATGACAGTAATGAAGACGCAACAAAAATAATGTTATCGTTGGGGATCACCACAACCGAGGAACTGTATTAAGAGGTCGCAGCATTAGGAAGGTTGAGAAACACTGGTGCAGATGCACCCCAATTGGTGTCAAAGGCTGGTTCTACACTAGTCATATAATGCAGTTCAATCTGCGTATATCAGACATGGGCCAACTTCAGCCCTCCAAGTGTTTTGGACTTCAACTCCCTCAACTCCCTCAACACCTCAGCAAGTGAGAGTCCAAAAGTGGCAGGCTAAAACCCGGAACCTGAAGCCATAGCTGATACCACATGAGAGACTCCCCCCTGGGCACACAGATGACTGGGCAACTTGGAAGGCATTGAACAGACTGTGCTCTGGCATCACGAGATGCAGAGCCAACCTTAAGAAATGGGGCCACAAAGTAGAGTCCACGACATGTGTGTGTGGATATGAGCAAACCCCAGACCACCTATTACAATGCAGTATGAGCCCTGCCACAACAGAGGGCCTCCTTATAGCAATACCAGAGACACTCCAAGTGGCCAGCTACTGATCAAAGGACATTTAATATAATGCCAAGCTTTTAAACTTTGTGTTTTTTAAATACATTACAACTGTACCCTTGGTTTGCTTCTGATATAATAAAATGAATACTTCCACAATTCCTAACATCCCATGGGCTGTTAGGAATTGTGGGAGCTGGAGTCTAAAACACCTGGAAGGCCGAAGATGGCCCATGCCTTGCCTACATGCTCAGTGCAGAACCAGCGAAAGAATGCTGCAGTCTTCCAACCCTGCTCTATGCCTGTGAAACGTGGACTATCTACAGATATCACATGCAACTCCTGGAACGATTCCATCAGTGTTGACTCCGAAAAATCGTGCAAATCTCTTGGGAAGATAGGTGAACAAATGTCAGTGTGCTGGAAGAAGCAAAGACCACCAGCAATGAAGCGATGGTCCTCTGCCATCAACTCCACTGGACCGGCCACATTGTCCGAATGCCTGATCACTCTCTTCCAAAGCAGCTACTCTACTCTGAACTCAAAAACAGAAAACAGAATGTGGGAGGACAGGAAAAGAGATTCAAAGATGGGCTTAAAGCCAACTTTAAAAACTGTGGCATAGACACTGAGACCTGTGAAGCCCTGACCCTTGAGCACTTGACCTGGAGATCAGCTGTGACCAGCAGCGCTGTAGAATTTGAAGAGGCAGGAATGGAGGGCAAAAGAGAGAAACGTGCCAAGAGGAAGGCGTGTCAAGCCAACCTCAACCGGGACCGCCTTCCATCTGGAAACCAATGCCCTCACTGCCAAAGAAGATGCAGATCAAGAATAGGGCTCCACAAGTACCTACATATCCACTGTCAAGACACAGATTAACAGATTACAGAGATGGGCCAAAACTAACAAAATGAAGTTCAACAGTGATAAATGCAAGATACTTCACTTAGGCAGAAAAAAACGAAATGCAAAGATACAGAATGGGGGCAATGCCTGGCTTGAGAGCAGTACGTATGAAAAAGATCTTGGAGTCCTTGTGGACAACAAGTTAAACCTGAGATGCGGCGGCAAAAAAAAGCCTGCATCAATAGGAGCATAGTGTCTAGATCCAGGGAAGTCATACTTCCCCTCTATTCTGCCTTGGTTATTGGTAATTGATCATAGGAATGGAACAATGGACGACGAACCTGGACTACGCTTTGATGATGAGACAATTGGGTTGGTTATTGTAATAATTGTTTAGTGTAATTGCTTGTTGTTTATTAAGTGGATAATGTGTTAAGTGGTCAATTGTTATATGTGCATTGAATTATTGCTGTTTTTATTGGGTGTAAACCGCTGTGAGTTGCCTTCGGGCTGAGAACAACGGTATATAAGCAAAGCAAATAAATAAATAAATAAATAAATATTGTGTCCAATTCTGGGCACCACAATTAAAGGGAGATATTGATAAGCTGGAATGTGTCCAGAAGAGGGCAACTCAAATGAGCAAGGGTCTGGAGAACAAGCCCTATGAGGAGCAGCTTAAAGAGCTGGACATGTTTAGCCTGAAGGAGAGAAGGATGAGAGGAGACATGATAGAAATATGTGAGAGGAATTCATAGAGAGGAGGGAGCAAGCTTGTTTTTTGCTGCCCTGGAGACAACGATGCAAAACAATGACTTCAAACTACAAGAAAGGAGATTCCATTTGAACATTAGGAAGAACTTCCTGACTGTGAGAGCTGTTCAGCAGTGGAACTCTCTGCCCGGAGTGTGGTGGAGGCTCCTTCTTTGGAGGCATTTAAATAGAATTTGTATGGAACCACTGCTGTTTCTACTGTTTTTACTGTTTGTGAACCTTCGGGCTTGAGATACAGCGGTATATAAGCAAAGTAAATAAATAAATAAATAAATAAATAAATAAATGGCCATCTGTCAGGGGTGCTTTGAATGCAATTTTCCTGCTTCTTGGCAGGGGGTTGGACTGGATGGCCCATGAGGTCTCTTCCAATCTTTGATTCTAGATTCTACATCACTTGGAGAACCATCATCCTCGGACTACGAAGGATCGCCTAAGCAAGCAAGAAAGCATTTAAAGAAGCAGTCTGGGTGAAAGGCAGCAAGTGTAGGTGTAGCTTCCCCCAGTCACCGGTAGATGGCAGCAAAGTCAAGCCCGAAAACGGCTTGATTCCATCGATAGAGATGGGCTTTTGGAGACAGACTTCTTGCAAAGGTCCCGACGCCGCCTCGCAAGTGCCCGCAAGTAAGTGTCTCTCGTCTGGAAGTGGAGCTCAGTGCTCGAAGGGACTCTTCAGAGCAGTCTACGGAGAGGGGAGTTCCTTTCTTTGGAGCCTGGCTGGGGGATTSTGGAGGTTCGAGTCCCAAGGAAGAAAAACGCGTCTCAACAAAGGCACCTATTTGGGTAAGTGRCTTGCGTGGGGATTTTGAGCAAGAGTAAGTGGAGGCTGGGTATCCCTTATCTGAAAGGCAGGGGAACAGAAGTGCTTGGGATTTACCCCCCCCCCCCCCAGTTTTTTTGAAACTACTAGTCCCTAATGAGAACATCTTTGAAATAGGACCCAAATCTAAACTTGACATTTTTTTTTTGAAGTTTCATATACATTTTAACGTTTTATATACATACAGGCTGTTAAAGGCTCCCCCCCCCCCACCCCAAACTACAAACTCCAGAATTCTGCAGGAGGCAGCCACCGGATTTAAAGTGGATTCATTCTCTAGTGTGATGAGCAAGGAAAACCAGTTTTTGGATTCTGGGGCATTTCATGGTATTTATCGTGTCAGGAGCTAACCAAAACAGTTGTATTGCATTAAAAACAAACAAACAAACAAAACACAAAGTTTGTAGTAGGTGGTCAGTGGTTTGTTCTTCTCCACATTCGCATGTCGTGGATTCTACTTTGTAGCCCCATTTCTTAACGTTGGCTCTGCATCTCGTGGTGCCAGAGCGCAGTCTGTTCAGCGCCTTCCATGTCGCCCAGTTTTCTGTGTGCCCAGGGAGGAGTCTCTCATTGGGTATCAGCCATGGCTTGAGGTTCTGGCTTTGAGACTGCCACTTCTGGACTCTCGCTTGCTGAGGTGTTCCAGTGAGTGTCTCTGTAGATCCTAGAAAACTATTTCTTGATTTAAGTCATTGGAGAGAGTTATTTGGCATAGAATTGTGGAAAAAAATAGACCCATGTCTGATTCCACAGCAAGCTGGCTTTAGGAAAGGCAATAGCTGTACATCGCAAGTGCTAAACCTGACTCAGTACATAGAAGATGGCTTTGAAAGGCAGCAGATCACAGGAGATGTCTTTATAGACCTGTCAGTGGCTTATGATACTGTAAACTACTGCCTCCTCCTGAGAAAAATGTATAATATCACAAAGGACTACCACTCCACCCGCCTCATAGGAAACCTGCTACAAAACAGGAGCTTCTTCTTTTTTTTTTTTTGTTGAGTTCCAGGGCCAAAGAAGCAGGTGGCGAAGAAGAAACAGAAAAACAGCCTGCCTGAGGGGAGCGTGCTTGCTCCATCCGTGTTCAACATTTACACAAATGACCAGCCACGGCCAGAAGGGACAGAGAGTTTCATCTATGCTGATGATCGTGCCATAACCGCAAAAGCAGGGAGCTTTGAGATGCTTGTTTGCAACATCATAACATTTAACCATGCAATTCTGTTTGTGTTGTTTACTCAACATGAAAAGAACTGCAGTATTCCACTGGATTCTTATGGCTGTATTTCTTTTACTGGAAGACACACCTCCCTCCCATGTAAACATATCGTATCAGGAGTGAACCAAGGGTACATTTGTATTGTATTTAAAAAGCAGTGAACAATTCTGGCTCACCAGACCCACAAGATTCAGTTTCAGACTCAGAATTAAGCTGAGCCTCAGACTCAGAATCAAGCTGAGCCACAACATACAATGATACCTTGAGTTAAGAGTTTAGTTTGTTCTGTGACTGAGCTCTTAACTCAAATTGCTCTAATCTCAAAGTGAATTTTTCATTGCAATTATATTAATACATTCTGCCCCCCCCCATTTTTACTTTATAAATAACAAATAATGTGTAAATGGATATTCACATGGAACAATCAAAAAAGAAAAATCAACTTTAAAATGGTAGAAGCACAAAGCTGTGACAAGGAAGCACAAAGTACACAGTGAAGAGGCAGAAGCATCATTTTCTTCGTATTGCACTTATTCCAGCCTCCCTCTCTCTCTTGCACTCTCTCCCTCTTTCTCTTCATGAAGCCAAACATAACAGGAATAAAAAACACACACAAAATCAACTAACCCAAAGTTCTTCATTACAGGCAAGAGTAAAGCAGACACCAATCTCCCAAGGTGGACAAGAGCACAAGGCACAGATGCTGCTCTCTTGAAGCCCTAAAGCCCTGTCCTCTTATTCAATGTAATACCTTTCTGACCTCAAACCAGTTACTTGCATAGCTCATGCAGCAAAACCAGTTCCTTCGAAGCTGGATTATAGAGTCAGTGTAGGAGTACCCTGAGCTATGGCAGTTAAAGTGGTGTCCAGCTACATTGATTCTACATTGTAGATGCCCTTTAATCCCTGGAATGAGGAAGGATGAATACCAGCACTAAATTGTTGGGATGGTATTTGTGAAAAGTCATATGGAGGTGATTAAAAGGGATTTGAAATTTTGTCCTTTTGTTTTGCTTACGGCATTCTGTCAGAACAGGGAGAAGCAGGTGGAGTTTTTATTTTTCCTTAAGGGACACAAGCTTTTCTCTGTTCCTTTTTTTCAGGGAAATCAAGTTACTTATCTTCCTTTTCTCTCTGCCTGATGAAAGATTGTACAAAGCCATGAAGTCAGTAATGCAACATTAGGTCTAGGAAGATGAGGTGCCTCACTGAATTTCTTCAGTTGCTGATTCTGCTGGAAATGGGACAGAGAAGTCAGAGCACCGAGGAGTGCCCTTCCTCCTGCGAGTGCTTGGATGGGATTCACTACAAAATTACCTGCCGGGAAATACATTTCATCCCCAGCCTCCCACAAGGAACTCAGATTTTGTGAGTATCCATTGTGTTGAATATGTGGGTGAGAGACAGATGTGTAAGTGACTTCCCATCTTTGATGGATGTGTTTTATCCACAAGTCATTGTATTCAGACATTGGGCTTCAGGAATGCAGAAAATGTAAATTACAGTATATCTTCATATATACATTTCATGTATAAGTCAAGAGCTGGTTTGGGGGCTAAAATTATGGATTTTTATATGACTCATGGATAAGTCAAGAGCCATTCCATGGAGAGCGGAAAACACCAATGCTTCAAGGGTCCAGCCATGCTTGGCCATTGCCATCATTTCCCCACCTAGGCATTCAAAAAGGATAGAAGCAGTACCACTGAGGTGAAAGTAGAGGAAGTCGGTGCTTCTTTTAAGTTATCCTGGAATGGACGAAACTCTTGCCTTTTGCCACTCTACAAAGTGAAGGGGATGATTCCGTTTTTGGTAAAGGTTAAGATATTGTGCTTGTGTTACTCCATGGATAAGTTAACCTGTTTTTTATTGATTATACATGAGTAGTATATATGAGTATCTAGAGCACAACTCTTCGATTATACATGAGTATCTAGAGTACAAGTCTCAAATGCAAGGCCCATGGGCCGAAACTGGTCCACCATGTTGTTCTATGTGGCCCACGAGGTTTTGAATGCCAGGGCAATGTAGTTATATTTATATAACTATGTATTTATATAATTACAGCCTTTTGAAGGCAACCATTAGGCTGATGTGGCTCTTGGTGAAAATGAGTTTGACACCCCTGATCTAGGGTAATGTTCCCAACAAAAAAAGCATGTACTTCTGATTGGCCTTGCACTTTCATTTACTCCAGAGTTGCTAAAGATGGTACCTTAATCCAGACGGTACCTCCAAGTATGAGAGACTAAACTGGGAACAGTTACTTTTTGACTACATCTCCATGAATCCAGTCCAACAGAGGTCGAACGTGGAGGATTACTGTGGAAATGGGCAAAACTACATTTAGCGTGATGGGGGTGAATATATCAATTGGGTTGCTGTGAGTTTTCTGGGCTGTATGGCCACATTCCAGAAGCATCCTCTCCTGATGTTTTGCCCACATCTGTGTCAGGCATCCTCAGAGGTTGTGAGATTTGTTGGAAACTGGACAAGTGAGGTTTATATTTCTGTGGAATGTCCAGGGTGGGAGAAAGAACTCTTGTGGGTTTCAATGGCTTCTCTGTGTAGTCAGACATGGTGGTTGTTAGAATGGTCCAGCATTTCTGTGTTAATAAATAATATACTGTGTCCAGGTTGGTTCATCAAGTGCTCTGCTATGCCTGACTTCTCACGTTGAGTTAGTCTGCAATGCCTTTCATGTTCCTTGATTTGTGTTTGAGCAATGCTGCGTTTGGTGGTCCCAATGTAGACTTGTCCACAGCTGCATGGTATGCAGTAGACTCCTGCAGAGGTGAGAGGATCCCTCTTGTCCTTTGTTGAATGTAGCATTTGTTGGATTTTATTAGGGGGTCTATAGATAGTTTGTAGGTTGAAGCTGCAAGGCTATTCAATGCTAATCAAGGTGATCAATTGCAACATTCACACTTACCTCAAACAGACAAGAGTTCTTTCTCCCACCATGGACATTCCACACATATATAAATCTCACTTTTCTTGTTTCCAACTAACCTCAAAACCCCTGAGGATGCCTGTTATAGATGTAGGTGAAACGTCAGTAGAGAATGCTTCTGGAACATGGCCATACAGCTGAGAAAATTTACAGCAACCCAATGATTCTGGCCATGAAAGCCTTCAACAACACAGTAGAGTTGCTGTTGACCTGTTTCTGGTCTGGTCAGCTTTCAGAACAGGCAATAAAATCAACATAATCTAAGATTTACCTCTGGATTTTATGTACTAACCAAATAGTTGACTGTTCCCAAAACATGGGCCTTTAGCTTTACTACATGTTTGGAACACAGCTTTTGTTTTCCTGAAAGCCGATACTTGGAGATGTTACAGAACATCTCCTTGCTTTTAAATTATATTGCTCAGTTGGCATTTTCTTTTTAATGTTGGCTTTGAACTATGCCATAATTGAGGTTTAAAAAAATGATTGGCCATTCAGGTTCTGCTTGTTGCATACACTCAAATTCTAAGGCTTGTAAAGCTACAATAAAGCTCAAGAACTGAAGATGTACTTCACCATTCAAAATGCCAGCACTAATTGGTTTCTCTTTCAGTTTGTTCCAATTGTTTCAGAAGTGGCTAAAGGGTTTGTTTCGAACAAATGAGTCATACAGGCTTTTTGTAATAATAATTTTGTAGTTATATATAGGCATATATTTTTCAACAAAAACTAGATCTAGACCAAGGGTCCTCAAACGAAGGCCCAGGGGCCGGATAAGGCCCTCCAAGGTCATTTACCCAGACCTGAAGTGACATGAAAGCACACAACATCAACAATCCTATCTCATCAGCCAAAAGCAGGCCCACACTTCCCATTGAAATAAGTTTATATTTTCTAAATTTGTTCTTCATTTTAATTATTGCATTGTTTTAAGTGTTTTTACACTACAAATAAGTCATGTGCAGTGTGCGTAGAAATTCATTCATGGTTTGTTTTTTTTAAAAAAAAAATTATAATCCGGTCCCCCAACAGTTTGGGGGACTGTGACCTGGCCCTCTGTTTAAAAAGTTTGAGGTCCCCTGATCTAGACCAATGTGCAGATATTCAGACGATGCCCATGTCCTGATCCGAAGGGGAACACTTAAAGTCTTTTACATGACAAATAATTAGTACAGAGTTAACAAAGCTTCTGGCAAAGAAGCTCTTTTTTTTTCAAAGTCTTTTTTTATGCCTGTCCAGACCACTTTTTTCTTCATCCTCTGTCTTGCTGGAAGGTTTTCAGCAGCATTGGCATTGGGAACATGGTGAAGGAAGCTGGAGAAACACAGCTTTTTAGTGTCAGGTTGCAACAGCATATCTACAAAAAATAAGTGCAATATTGAGGTTGGGAAGACAGGATTTTAATCTTACTGAACATGCATAAAATGCAAAAGAGGGAGAACAGATAAGTCTTCCTTGTCATCTTCAAACAGTAATGTTAGAAAAGAGAGCATCGATCTGTAACTTTGGTCAATAAAAAAAAAATACTAAGAAAGGTGGAATCTGCTAAAATAAAAAATTGCCCCTGGATGCATTTGGAAGATTTTAGTTGAAAAGGTTTTTCTTTTACAAGGTTTGATCTGGTTGCTTAATTTTATGTGTGTATATTGTCAATTTTGGACAAAACTTTCTCTTTTTTTTAAATAGTGTTTATTGAAGTTTTGCATATCTTCTATATACATAATAAAAGTGAAAAATGTGTATGTGGCCGTGGTGTCTTTTTACACAGACAGCCTCCGGCCTCCATAAACAGGCTATAGTTCCAAGTGCTGAGAAGCCTCCAAAGGCACTCCCTCAACGGACATTGTGAATCCCCCGGTGGCACAATGGATTAAAACCTTGTGCCAGCAGGACTGAAGACCGACAGGCTGGAGGTTCGAATCCAGGGAGAGCACAGAGGAGCTCCCTCTCAGCTGCAGCTCCCCATGGGGGGACATGAGAGAAGCCTCTCCAAGGATGGTAAAACATCAAAACATTCAAGCATCCCCTGGGCAATGTCCTTGCAGACAACCAATTCTTTCATACCAGAAGTGACTTGCAGTTTCTCAAATCGTTCCTGTCATGAAAAAAACCCTGACATTGTAGGTTCTAGTGAGCACTATAAAGACTTCGAAAGGTATGGGAGATAAATCAATATCCCACCTCTGCACTACCAAGTATAATAACTCAAAAGAGGTTTTTGTAGGGTTTGAGGGGATGTCACGTTGTGTAAAACTTTCGCTGCCACCAAACTAAAGAAATCACGAACCCTCTCGCTATTAGTCTGTTAATAGGCTGTTTAGTATTACCACAAGGCTTTTTTACTCCACCATTAAAAATACTGTTGTATTAACAAGGGCTTTCTCTGAGGGGAAAACAGGAGAGGTTGATTCAAAAAGGAAAAGGATTCAAAACCAAAAATGGCACTTGACTCAGGCTTGACTTTTAAAAAATAACAAGAAGAGTTTATTGATTACAATTACTGAATAACAGAGAATGCAGGTACTGAGGCTTGATGGTTACAGAATAAAAGTGTTCTTGTTTCTTATAAGCGTATTGGTTTCTAGAGAGAATGTTCTTTCTTTTGTTACAGTTACTCGAACACAAAACCCAGCTATTTTTCTCAAAAGTAGCTGTAATCTCAGTCTGTCACAGCCTACTGTGCTGTACAGACTAAAGGCAAACTGCCTTTTCTTCACAGAGACTCCTAAACAATCCAAATCTTTCTCAGAACTAAAACTGCTCACTACTCTTCTCAGAACTCAGCTGAACTC